TCTCAGCACCGGGGGGCGCTCCACGTTGCCTGCAAGCCCCGTTTTTCAGTGTGGTGGCAGCATTATGCTGGCTGCCGGCAGGTCACCGGCAGTGTGGATGGGTGCAGGGAGAAGCCCCCTCCTGCTGCTGGGAGTGGTGGGTGCCCCCACCCTACCCCACCCGGCCCTGGACAAGGGGGCAGTGCCAGCAGGTGTGTGTGCCCCGAACCCACCCTGAAGATGGCACCGGGAGAAGCAGCCCACAAACCAGGTTCCCCTGAGTCGTGGGCGTGTGTCAGAGTGGCACCGCCCTTGCCGTGGCTTTTAGTGGCTGGTTTTCTCAGTGTGGACCACCGGGCCGTGCTTCTTCCGTGCTCTGATGTTGGGGTCCACGACGGCGGAACGTGTTTGCCGCCTGTGCCCCCAGCACAAAGCCAACCATGTGCCGGGGAGCTCAGCACAGCAGCCTGGGCTGGAGGAGAAACTGCCCCAGGGCATCCCTGCCCCACCTTTCTCCCAGGATCCCAACTACAGGCCTTTGTCAGGTAGCAGCCCAGCGCTTGACCTCTGGGTCTCCTGAGGGTCACTGCTGCCCCGACACCCTCTGTCTTTGATGGTGACTCTGGTGACCCCTGTCGGACTCTCCTGAAGCAGGGCACCTCATCCCCTCCCCTCGCTGAGAAATTCACATTCCGTTTAGGAGCACCAGCAGGGAGCACTCAGCAGAAACTGCCCAGGCAGTGGACGCAGGGGGAGCCCATCCCTGCTAGTAGCCTTTCCCTGGAGGGAGGGGTGGAGCGAGGCCCTGTCCAGCTGAGAAGTGCTGCCACGCCCCCTCCACCAGGGCCAGCCTGTGGAAGTCATGTCTACCGGCAGCTGGCTCTGTAATTTAGCTGCAGTGCAGAATAAATTGACTCCCGGAGAGCCGACCCCAGACATCATACCTATAATACTGTTTCCGTGAGCAAAATGCCTTTTGCGTGCTCGGGGTCTTCAACGGGTGATTTACAGATCAACTCGGGGGCCACCATCCGCCTGAAGAACTCGTTGGGCGAGGCGGGCAGGGCTCTCGAGAAACAGCACCAGGGATGCGGTGTGCGCAGGCCTCTGCAAAGAGATTTCTGTCGGCGAAGGGCCCACACGGCTGCAGAAGTGGGCGAGCCCAGTCCAGTGCAAGGCCCTGGGCCAGGCGTCCGCTGGAGGCGTCTCCTGCCCCCTGGAGCTGCAGGGGCTGGTGGGCAGGAAGCAGGAGTGTGAAGGAGGAGGTGACACGCTGGAGGTAGATGCCGAGCTGAATGACTCCAAGATTGGATGCCAGATGGACCCAACGTCAGCAGCCGTCTGATGCCCCTGGGGCAGCAGGTGATAGAGCAAGAGGCCTGTGAACCGTTTGCCGGCTCCAGACCCAGCAATAATGTGAGCTGGTCTCACCCTGTCCGTCTACACTGAGCGTGGGCCACACCTTGAACGGCAGTCTAAACGGAGGCGGACCACACCCTGAATGAACTCTCCCAAGATCACACCGAGCCTGTGCCCAAATTCAGGAGGCCTGTTCTCCCCCCAAATGGTGGCTTGTTTCACAGAAGAGCCCCCGGGAGCTGGCCGCACCATGCGGTCACTTAGTGGACGGATCGATCCCACGTGCGTCCTCGTTCGCAGCTGCGCACTTCCCCCTTGCACTGCCGTGGCTGCTTGACTTAAACCAGCACTTGTGGTAGTGACCCAATCCCATGTCAAGTTGAAGAGCCGTCAGAGTGCAGGGGCGGAGTCTGGCCTGTCAATCAGGTCACAGCCTGATGGTGCCTCCTTGTGGGCGTGGCCTCCTCACGAGGTGGGTCCTGGGGTCCTCCTCCTCTGTCTTCACCTTCCTGCTGGCCAGCCACGCGGAGACCTGCCCAAGCCCTGGAGATGTGTCCACCACCACTGGATCCGTCCCTGCATCATTGCGTGTGGCTGCCTGAGTCTGAAGAGGGACGTGTGGACCACTGCCGGACTTACAGACTTGAGTTGGCCTGAGTTGCGTTGCTCGCTTGATGTATAAATCTTTACGTAGCGCTCCCCGGGCTGGTTCCTGCTGGTCAGCCTGGCCTGACACAGCGTTGCAGAGGCTGCTCTCAGTCAGATGCACCTGCTGGGCTTGAGCCTCAGACCATGTGGCTATCAGCCCAAAGCCGGGCTTCTTATTCCCGTCGACTGTGTCCCGAGTCGCAGCCGCCCTGCCGGACAGCATGGAGCGGCCCTGCCCGCCGCTTTCTGAGACGACCGTGAATCTTGGTGGGCGTGGCACGCCTGTGCAGTGTGCACTTAGGGCCCTGGGCGTGGCACGGTGGGTTACGCATTGGGCTGCTGACCCATGTCCAGTGGCCACATTGCAGGGAAGCCAGGAGGCCATCTGTTTCCCCAGGGGTGGGCAGGGGGACACCCTGTGGGCGCTGTGTCACCCCAAGTTGGAATCCACTTGACGGCCTTGGGCTTCATGGTCAGGCTTTGTTTTAGGGGGATGGGGAATCGTGGGCAAGCCTTTGGCTGCTAACCCAGAGGTCAGCCGTCCAGACCCCTGTGGTGGTGACTGCATGGGAGAAAGGTGGCCGTCTGGTCTCTCAGAGACCACGTCCAGGCCTCCAGGGCAGCCCACCTCTGTCCCGGCCTGAGAGCAGCGACGCCGAGCCTCTGAGGGACGTGGTGCTTGTCCGTCTGTCCCGGGCCGGAGTGGGAAGAGACGTGCAGCCTGTGCAGCACAGGCTTGTGGACTGTGGCATGTCCTCCCCGTCCAGGTCCTGCTGGCCAGCAGCTTCGTGCCCCTGTACGCCGGACTCAGGCCCGTGGAGTACAACGGGCAGGTGAGCAGCGCGGGTAGCCACACAGGGCCATGGAGCAGAGGTGGGGTGTGCCCAGTGAGCAACGTGGAGCAGAAGTGGGGTGCACCAGTGGGCTACATGCAGGTGTAGGGTGTAGAACTGCCCGGGAGTCTGTTGCTTAGGGACGGGTCGATTTTAAGCCATCTCAAGCTCCACTTGCTACCACAGAGCCTGAGGGAGCGAGGTGTTGTCTGAGGGTGGGTCCCTGGCCCGTGGGCCACCACAGGAGGGAAGTGGGTGCTGTGGGACGCCCTGCCGCTGGGCCTGCTGGCCCTGATGTGGGCATTCCTCTCTGCAGACCTGGGTGGACGGCGCCCTCACCAACAGCCTCCCCATCCTGCCCGTGGGCCGCACCGTGACCATCTCGCCCTTCAGTGGACGCAAGGACGTCACCCCACAGGACCGAGGACCGCCAGACCTGTATATCACCATCGCCAAGCAGGACATAAGGGTGAGACCTTCGGGCCCAGGACATACGGTAGCCTCGTCCCAGAGGGGCCCCGCAGAGCATCCTGGAGCCCCGGCTCTGTGGTGCCGACTGCACCCTCTTCCTGACTCGCGCTGATGGAGTCTGCCCTGCCCTGCCCTGCATGCGTGTGCACCTCCAGACCCCGAGGCTGCACATGCGTGTGCACCTCCAGACCCCGAGGCTATGCATGCGTGTGCACCTCCATGGCCCGAGGCTACGCATGCGTGTGCACCTCCAGGGCCCGAGGCTACGCATGCGTGCTACTTCCCGGGCCACCGTCTGCTCAGCTCAGGGACCTTGGTGGGACCTACCTCGAGGCAGCTGCCCATCAGAGACGTCAGAGGGCAGGGTCTGGAAAAGGGGGGGGATGGTTGAGCCTGCCCACCCATGAGACCAAACATAGGGACCCCCGGGGATTGTGCACAGGAAAGAATCCGTTCTCTTAACCCACAGTGCTGGGGCTCTGGGGTGAATTTTACCTCCCCAGGGGGTAGTAAGCCTTGTCTGACACATTTCTGGTTGTCACAGTTGGGGGGAGGGGGCGCCTAATCCTGGAATGCAATAAGTGGGCACCAGGGATGCTGTCCCACACCCCACCGTGCACAGGACCCCACAGCACAGAGAATGACTAGTGGGGAGACCAGGGATGCTGCCCCACCCCCACGGTGCACAGGGTCCCCCTGCGCAGGAAGGTCAGTAACCGCTCTGTAGTCTCCACCTGGGTGGGGAGGGGGGACTCATCCCTCCCTTTGGTGCAGGAAGCTGCCTTGCTTCCTGTTCTCCTGCCCGGGTTGAGGTGGGCTTCGTGTAAGTGGTCGGGAGGGGGGAGGGGGGGTCCTCCTGGGCCCTGTGGCTCAGTCCCGTCTCTCCCTCCTAGTTGTCCATGGCCAACCTCATGCGGCTCCGCCATGCGCTTTTCCCGCCCGACAAGGTGAGGCTGCAGGTCCTGCAGCAGCATGGCTTCGAGGATGCCGTCAGGTTTTTGCGAAGAGAACACTGGTTTGAATAAGACACCCCCCTCCCCCCAGGCCACCAGCCCCAAGGGCATTCCGGACCTAGTGGGACAGGGCTTTCAAAAGAAATGCCTTCTTCGTGAGCATCGGAAAGCAGGTACTGTGCCTGGAGCAGCCGGTGCGTCGGGAAGGACGCGATGCTGGTTAGAGTTTGGCAGCATCCGTGAGGACAGTGGACCACGAACCTGCCTTTCCTTGTGCTGCGTGGTCCAAATCCACACACAGAACCGGTCATCGCCTCCTCCAGGATTTCTGCAGGGTGCAGTGTGCACTGGGACTGTCCGCCTGGGAGCTCCCGCCCTCAGCGAGCTTCCCAGACCAGCCTCACGCTACAGCGGCTGTGCCCAGAGGAAGAACACTCTCCCTCCCTTCCACCAGCCCTCCCTCCCCCTGCGGTTGGCCGTGCCCCCTCAGTGAGCCACCACTGTTTGTCCCACCCAGCGGGTGTGCCCGAGCCTGGCCAGTCGCGTGGAGGCCTCCCAGGAGCCCTCTGTCCATGAGGCTGAGTCCCACCGCGCCGTGAGCACGGTCACTCGGTGGTGACCGGCCGTCAGCGGCAGCCGCTGCTCTCCCAACTTCCGAGGAGCGTACATCCACCAGTCCGCGGCCTGCCGACCTGCACCCCGTACTGGTGGACGCTGTGAGAGCTACTGCATTAATAAATCAATCAATGAAGAAGAGCTGCTGTATTGACAACTCGTGCTGTAGAGACTCCGGACCATCGCGGCGATGATGTTGGTGGTTGGCGGTGGTGCTTCCTGTGCTGGTTGACGTGGGTCTTCCTGCCCGCTGGCCCTCTACCTTACCCAGCACCATGCCCGTCTGCAGGGCCTGCTCTGTGCGCCCGGCGGGCAGCACGTCTGCAGCCTCACCACCCTTGCAAGCTGCTCTTCCCTAAGAAGCCGCAGAGCAGGCTCTGATGTCCACCAGCCCATGTGGACACCACCGCGGGGCAGCCCCATGTGGACACCACCGCGGGGAAGCCCCATGTGGACACCACCGCGGGGCAGCCAAGAAGCCTGGGGAGGGAGGGAGGGGCCGGCAGCTTGGAGGCTGGACTTGCGTCTGATCTACATAGCTATCATCTAATATCTATCACCTCTGTACATATGTATCTATTTACATATGTATCATCTATCTATCTACATATCATCTATCTACATATCTATCATCTATCTATCTACATATCTATCATCTATCTACATGTCTATCATCTATCTATCTACATGTCTGTCTATCATCTATCTATCTACATATCTATCATCTATCTATCTATCTACATGTCTGTCTATCACCTCTGTATGTATGTATCTGTCTATCTCTCTGTCTCTCTCTGTGATAGGGTTTGGGGTTATTATTTTGTTTTGTTTTTTGCCAACTTGGCACCTGTAAGAAGATATGGGTGGAGTTTAGCCTGTCAATCAGGTCGCAGCTTGATGACCTCCTTTGGAGGTGCGACCAAGATAGATGGCTCTCTGAAGGCCGGTCTCTCTCTCTCTCTCTCTCTCTCTCTCTCTCTCTCTCTCTCTCTCTCTCTCTCTCTCCCTTCGTGATGAGGCAGGCTGAGACCTGCGTGAGCCCTGGGATGCCCCCACCGCCATTGGCTCTACGGGACTCTGCACCCAGCGGCCTGTGAGCTGCATTCTGCACCATTGCATGTGACCATGCGTCTGGGGACTGACTGACGGACTGGTGTCGGACTCTCGGGCTCCATCTGGACTGGGCTGGGATGTTTACTGGGCGTATGAGATGGCTTCTTGATGAAAAGGGCTCTCTCGCATGGGTGTCCCTGGGTCTGTTTCTCTCTCTGTCTCTTCTATATCACAGACTTACAGTTTCCCTGGGGTGCTCTCAGCATGTTCCCTGCTCGGGCCTGCACTTAATTCTGCCTGCGGCAGCTCAGCCCTGCTATCTGCTTCCGTGCCCCAAGCACATGCACCTGTGTCTTGCACACACCTGCTCCCCAACAATCCCTGCACACCTCCCCGGTCTGGATGGATGTGAAGCGGAAGGCAGACAGACATGTGAGTCAGAAGGTTCTATTTCTGGGTCTGTGTGCCGTGGAACAAAGCGTTTCTGAGCAAGCAGCCCCCGTCACTGCAGACACCGTACACCCAGGCTCTTCTTCCAATGAGGCCTGCACAGTCCGTGGTCAGAGCGAGATGCACACACCGCTGCTGCTACTGGTAGTGGCCAGCAAGCTGCCCCACGTCGCAGGCTGCCCACCCACCACGGCTCGGAGGGCTGGCCAGCCCCAGGCCGCACTCACAGCCCTCGTGTGTGAGCCCGTGTGGCCGCCACGCCGGCAGTCCATCTCGTTGCTGGCCCTCTGCCTTCTCCACGGGCTGTCCTTCTACAGGGGCCTGGCCCCTCCTGACGACAGAGTCGTGGACAGGCCACCACCGTCCCCTGGCCGTGTTTCCTCCAGGACAGGTCTCTGCGCCCCGCGGCAGTCCATGGCACACCCGGCGGCCCTTTCTGCCAGCACCGGATTCCGATGCGTTGACTTCCCCCCCTCCAGTCATCGGTCAGTTTTCACCTGGCTGGGCAGTGCTGGGGACACGCTGGCTGGGGGCCAGAGTCCTCCGGGCGCCCCCTTGCCTTTCGTCCTGGACATCGCTGGGGTCCCCGAGCAGGAGCGGGTGGCTGGTGCAGGAAGCGGAGGCAAGCCTTACGGGAGGAGAGGCTTTGGAGGCAGCAAGAAGGGCAGGTGTTGGGAAGGCTGGCTCTGACCTCGAGAGAGAGAGGTGCCTGAGCACACGGAGACCCGATGTGGGAGACACCCACCCCTGGTTCTGGCGGAGAGGCCGGGAGAGAGGAGAGGTGGGTGGTGTCCCCTCTGCAGACCCAGGCGCTGGCCTTTCCCATGGCCGGCCGCTCCTGACCCGCGCTCTCCGACCTCGCCACCAAAGGACTTGCTCGTCGTGGTTCCTCGGAGCCGGAGGGCGTGGGCAGTCGGCGGAGACGAGAGACGTGTGGTCAGAAGTCAGCTCAGACCTGGAGGATGGTGGCCCTGGATCCTCGCCATGTAGACAGCAGGAAGGGGTGGCCGGCGGGTGCCACTGCAAGGAGGTGCGGCCAGTGCCCTGACAGGGGTCCATGGGGGATCCGTGAGGGTGTGCGTGAGGTCCTACTCACACCAGCTTCCTCAAGAACTGGGAAGTCTGGGAGGGCAGGGAAGAGAAGCCACAGCAGTGCCCGCAGACGGAGAGCGCGGACTCACCGCCAGATGGGACCCAGGGGCTCTGTTTTCACGGTGGACACGACTTGGCCTGAGGAATGTGGGCGCGGGGCGTGGTGAGGCTGTCAGTGTGATGGCAGTGACGCGGCCAATGGCCTGTCCAGGCGTAGGTGTGGACGTGGCATCTCTGGTCTCACGTGCATGTTCCCGGCCGCGGCAGCCCTGGAGGAGGGCAGCTTGCCGCTGCGCCTGTCTGCTACTGAGACCATAGTGACGGCTCCCTGCCGTCAGATCCACGCCCACCGGGGAAGCCTGCTCGTGCTCCTAGGCACCGACTGGGGCTTCAAACTGCCAATCCTGCCATTAGCAGCCCGACGACAGCGGGGAGCCCACGACACCACCAGGGCTCATTTGCACATGTATCATCTATGTGTGTGTGCTCATGTCTATACTCAACTGCGTGCATACATGCTCGTACAGATAGATAGACTTATCACGACTTAAAGATTCAAATAAAAAATTTAAAGTGAAATTATCAAGGGTTCACGGGGGAGGGGGAGCGGGGAGGGAGGGGACAAGAAGAGCCGGTGCCAAGGGCTCAAGCAGAAAGCAAATGTTTTGAGAGCGGTGATGGCAGCAAATGCACAAATGCGCTTGACACGATGGATGGATGGACGGATTGTGATAAGAGTTGTACGAGCCCCCGGTAAAATGAAATTAAAAGAAGAAAAACGATTTGAAGTGACAGACATTGAAAGGTAAGCTCTTTGCCGGATGACAGCCCAATTCAAGTGAACACAGAAACTAAAGGGTCAGCTCTGGGGCTCGGTGAGGTCAGCCACAGTCTGGGTCAGACTGACAAATCCTACCCTCCCCGGCACTGGACGGCGGTGCGTCTGGGCGGCTGAGCATCCCAGCACTCATTCACAGACTTTCCTTTCCCCCCGAAAATGGTCATGACATTTGGATATTCATTTTCTATGAATGGCAAAGGTAAAGCGGTTTTCTCTAATGAGTTCAGAAGCATGCTGTCCCCCCTCTGCACACGTTGATGTGCATCGGCTGCATGAGGAGAGTGAACATCAGCCACACACGCACACACACACACACACACACACACACACACACACACACGCTCTGGGCAGTGGTGGCGGCTCTGTATTTCCCTCGAGACATCAGCGTCTCGTGTCTTCCAAACCGTTATTGTCACCAGCCGTGCCAAGGACAATGCTCCATGAGGGGCGGCCTAACGTCATCTGAGGATTTAGTTTCTCTTTGTCTTACTCCTTGTTCTTGCTCCTTGTGCGGGGGATTGAGTTGTGGTAGACACACTGCCTGGAGTCAGTTCCGCCCATGGAGACCGGTGTGAGTCCGGGTGGACTAGAAAACAACTCCGGAGACACTCAGAGGGTGTAAGAGAGCTTCTTCTCCAAGAACACTTGCATATTGAGAAAACATCCCCGCCCCATCCAGATCAA